ATTTTTTAAATATTCAAGATTTTCAGCATGATCCTCTCTTTCCTTATTTCTTTCTAATCTTCTTATTTCTTCTTTTAATACTCTGACTTGTTCAGTCATTCTCAGATTATTAGCTTCACTTTCATTTAATATCTGAAATTAAAGAAAAATTTTTAAAGATTTATTTGTAAGTATGTTAAAATTAAATTAACTAATTTACCTCAGTCACATGTTCTAATTTTTTTTGTGTAGCAACTAAATTGGATGAAAGTTTTTCTATATCTTGCTGTGAAGAAATGCTCGTTGGTGCTATAATTATTAAAAGATAATTAAAAATTTAAGATAATATGATGATAATTTCTTTTAAAAATTAAGATATTGATAATCACTATCAGGTTCATCTGGCATCTGTAACAACTGTTCAAATGATATAAAACCTGATCTTGGAATAATATTTAAAGATGAATTCTGAAAACAGAAAAATAATTATTTCTATAATATTTTTCATTATTAAGAAATTATCTAATCAATAAACAAACATACTCCTATAGGTGTTAAACTTCTTCTGTCAGTGCATTCTGATCCCTTTTAAAAATAAATAGTATAAAATTACATTCATAATTTATAATAAATACAACTAACCCAATAGTTAATTTCAAATACCAAGTGAAAGTTGGATTCTTTATTGGATTATAAGGCTAAATAAGTAATTACCAAGCAATTTGGCAAGCCTCCATCTCTTGTTAAATGTAGTAATAACTAAATTTAATACAAATTTAATAAGATCAGGAGATTTGGGTAGCATAACTGGAAATGCATCTGCACAGTATACAGGAATTGAGAGTTCAAGTCCTACTCTGAGTCTATCTTTTCTTCCAGAATATTCTGAAATATAATTTATAATTATTGTATTTAACAAGAGATGGCAGACTGGTGGCCTTCCTCCTGCCAAATTACTTAAGTTAGCACAGTAGAGCGTTGATATCTGAATCAATTGGGAACTGGGGTTGTTCAGAAAATCGGTTTTTCAGATAACTATAATATATTAATAATGTATTTTTTTGTACATAANAAGACTAATTGTATCATTAAAAATTATTTTTTATTTTGTACAAACAAAATAAATATATTAAAAAATATAAAAACAATAAAAAATTATACTTCAGATATTAATTTAGTGCGAAAAACATAAAATATTTGAGTAGCCCAAGACATAGGCAAAGATTGAAGCGCCACAGCACTGGCGAAAATTTAAATTTGCCGACTGGAATTCTTTCGGATAATTGATGTTTCGGATGATTGACTTTCAGATAATCAACGCTCTACTGTATTTCTTTATTTTGTACAAAGAAAATAAATATATTGAAAAATATAAAAACACAAAAAATTATACTTTAAAAGTTAATCTAGTATCAAAAACGTTTGATTCAGCAGGACACAGTCTGACTGGAAAGTGTTCGGTTAACCAACATTTCAGTTGATCGACATTCAGATAATCGACGCTCTACTGTAATTATTTAACCTTATAGCCCAATAAACAATCAGGCTGTTCATTTGATAGTTTCATTATTATTAAAAATTTTTAAAATAGATTGTTAACAGGAAATTACCTCTCCTTCTTGTCTTTCTTGTGAAAATATATCAAATTGTGCAGGTTCTTCTGGCATGTGTGATGGTGATGAAGTTTTTTGATGTTCTTTCTGTAAATGGCTAATTTCTGTGTGTGCAACTTCCAATTGTTGTTGAAGCAATTTTATTTCAATTTCGTGCTTTTCTTGAAGTGCATGTAGCCTTTGCTGTAAAAAATTTTTTTACAGTAATAACATTTTTAAGTGTATTTTTATAGTGTACACTACATAATAAATATAATATAATGTTAAAAATATGATTTCTTGAATGAATTTAAAACATTATATTTGATAAGAAGCTTTGATTTTTAATTATTGAAAATAATGTGTTTAAAAATAAAAAAATGAGTGTCTTGTAATTGGATAAATTCACAAATGTTTTATGGCAACAAAATATTCAAGTAATTTTTGAGATAAAATGTAAACAAACAACATAAAGTAAAATTTAGATTCATAAATCCATTTATATTTGTAAAAAGTTTGCTTATTAATATTTCCAAGATCAAACATAAGCATATGATATTGACTTTTTTTAAAATTCGTTTTAAATATTTAATTGTTAAACATTTAACTGGCTTTCATAACAAAAATTTGAATTTTGATGTGATTGCCACAGAAATGTGCATTTTGTCAACAAGCAGTTTGCAGAGAGTTGAGTTGAGTTAGTAATGTGTAGACAATTATACAGTATTATTAGATAATTGGTATATTATTATACTGTAAAATAATTATAAGATTTTTTAATTTTTAAAAGTTTTTTTCCATAGTAATGTTAAGATGATCAATTTAAAAGAAACTGATGAATCAGTCAGTAACTGAAAAAATGAAAAGCTGACTACTGAACAGTAACTGAATACTCATTGCATCTTTATTTGTGATTGTTAATGTATAAAAATTTTATAAATCTGAATGAATTTGTGTATTGTAATCAATTTGACTAATATATTGTTTAATTAAATACTAAAATTTGAATTTCTCATTATTAAAAAACATTATCAAATATTGTAAATAACAGCAGATATAAAGTTATAGTAAGTAAATAACAAATGATTATCAATTATTTCATAAATAATTACCTTAAACGTTTCAGTAATTACATTCTGCTGTTGCAATTGTTTACTGAGAGATTCTTGTTGCTGATATAAAGCATCATGTTCCATTTTCAATTGACTATACCTAAAAAAATATGTATATATTTTAAATATACATATACAGTATATTTAAAATTAAATATTTTATTTTGAAAAAGTATTAAGCATAAAATATAGAGTATTACTTTTGATTCCAAGAATCTTCTCTTAATTTAGCTTCTTCTATTAAATTTTCATAATGCTGTAATAAATCATTATGTTCTTTCTGATGTATCTCATTGTCTGTTAATGCAACTTTTAATTTTTCACTGCGAAATTAATTAGAACTATTACTATTGATCTAACATTTCAAATAAATTTCAATTATAATTATAGATTTTTTACCTCAGTTCTTCTATTTTTTCTCTAGACTGTTCAATTATATTTTCCATTTCTTGTTTAGTTTCATCTTGTATTGTATGAATTGGGCTATATTCTTGCTTTTGTTTTAACACACTATGCACACGAATCTAAAAATAATTGCATATTTAACACTTACTTATAAAACAAATTATTACTTATGAAAATAAAATACCTTATAACTTTCAAACTGTTGTTTAACATTCACCATTTCTAGATTTGCAATTTTAAGTTGTTCTTCCAGATTTTCTATTTTTGTTTCAAGTAAGTTAGTTGTCTTTTTACTGTTCAACCTTAAATCTTTAACAAGCTGATATAACCTTTGATTTTCAGCTGATGCTTCTGCTATTTGTACCTATTATGATGTATAAAAAAAAATTCTTAAATAAATTGAATAACAAAATATATTTCAAAATTATAATACAAAACTTTTACTTTAAAAAGTTCTTCTTTTTGTAATATAGATTCTAAATGATTTTGTTGGGAATTTATTTTATCTTTAAGTTCTTGTTCTCTATTTTTCATATCTGATAATTCATTCTTTGTTTTATTTAAAATATCCTTTAAATTCTTGGCTCTACTTTCTTCTGATTTCCATTGGCATTCAACATGTTCTTAAAAATAAAACTTAACAATGATTATCTGATGATCAGAAGTTTTTAATAAACTTTATATGTAATCTACTTATTGAATTAATTTATTCCTTTAAAATCTTTCATAATTAATAGTTTATATGAAGATAATTTAAATTTTTATTTGATTTTTTATCACAATTATCAGGATTTTAAAAACCAGTAATATCATATTTCTAAAATCCCATATAATAATAATAATAAAACTTGTTTATTTAAAAAATTTTCATTGTTTTGAACTTGATCTATTTATGAAAAAATCTATGAAAATAAAAAGTCCAGAAAAATAAACATGTCTTTCCTGATTTTTGATAACCTTAATACAATTATAATTAATAGTACTATTTATTTCTTGTTATTTTCAAATCATTAAAATTAATATGGAAAGTATTTTTATTACTACTAGAATCTACAGAAACACTGAATATGAAATTTTAAAGTCTCAAAATCATATTTGTGTACTGTATAAACAATTTGATTTCATTCACAGTACATTTCAAAATTGTAAATACAGTAGACCCCCTATAAAACTGTTTCCTATAATTACGATTCCTATAAAACTGCAAAAAAATTGCGACGGTATCTGTAAAAAAACTCCTATAATTACGTAAAACGTCATCGGGCAGCCGAACTATTTTCCGCCGTCTGGCGCCACGCTACGGAGAGATTACTATCATCTGTACAGTGTTATATATAAATTAGGTACTGTACATATAATTATATATTAATTATATATAAATTAGGTATTGTATATATAATTATATATTAACTTAATTTATTGTAACTTTATTATAATTATATATATNGAGATTTCTATCGTCTGGACAGTATTATATAAATTATATATAAATTAGGTACTGTACATATAATTATATATTAATTATATATAAATTAGGTACTGTATATATAATTATATATTAACTTATTGTAACTTTGTTATAATTAAATATATAATTTCCGCCGTCTAGCGTGGCGCCACGCTACGGAGATTTTTACGCTAACTATCGTCTGTCAGTATGTAAATTAGGTACCGTAAGTCTAATACAGTACTGTAATTTTATACATTTCTTGTGAAAGAAACATTTCTTATTCAACGGCGATTAAAATTATTTATATTAATGATGTCTCCAAAGTTCAACGAATTTTCCGCAGAAAAATAAGTTATTAGAAATCGGCCGCTGTTTGCTGAGCTGTTCCACGACGAAAACAAGCTTGAGCAATGGCGATGTCGAATGGTGCATACTACAATTTTTTGTTTATAGCATAGTTTATATGGATTATTCCCATAAAAAATATACGTATTTTGGAAATGTTGAGTTGGATTAGTCTAGAATCGATTAATTTTATGGAAGAAAACCTTTCAATCAGCATTCACACGTGTCGGGCTGTGATTGGAAGGACTCGTAAGAAATCGGATTCCTAAAAAATGGAACGTATCTATGATCTTATAGGAGGGTCAACTGTATTCATTAATTCTTTTACGTAAAAATGTTGCAGATAAAAAGAACCTGATCTGTAGATAAAATTAGAAGCATGTAAAACAATAATTTTCTGACAACAAGCAAAACTAATACAGTAAAAATTTTGGAAACTACAATCAATCCATATTTTAAAAAATTCATCTTCATTTACTTTTAGATTTAAGTTCACAGAAAATTATTTAAATATATAAATCTTAAAAAGTAACTGCAAAAATGTTTGTAAAGAATATATTTATAATAATTACTTAATTCTTCTAGAGCTGTATTATACTTTTCCCTTTCATTCTCTAACTGGGATCGAAGATTATTAATACACTTGCTTCTTTCTTCAAGGTTTGCATTAAGTTCTGATACAGAACGCTCATAATCAGCCATTTCCAAGCTCAACAAATTTTGTTGTTTAGCTTCCTGTAATAATAGACTTTGTTTCAATATTTTTATGTGATGTAAATTTTAAAATAATAAATTAACCTTAAGAGCTTGTTCTAATTGCTGAGTTGTGGAAGTGTGTTGGAACCTTTCCATATTCAATTGATCTTCTAATTCAGTTACTTTTTGTATTTTCTTTTGCAATTCGGCTTGTGTTTCATTATGTTTCTTAGTTTCCGTTTCATGGACAGATTCTAATACAATTACTTTTCCCTCAAGCTCTGTTTTCATCTGTTCTAATTGCTAAAAAAGTTAACATGTTTTAAATTAATATAAAATTATTCATTCTTTCCATAATAATTTTTAAATCTAAATGGTTAATAATATAAGTATTTAAAAAAGTAGTAGTCTTTTTATTTTAATAAAAATTATTTCATTGATATTAGTTAAATAACTTTATACAAAGTTCACAAATTCTTCTGGAATTGTAGGCTGCATTCACATTGCCGATGACAATGACAAAACCAATTTCTTTATTGTCTGTCTTTATCTGTAAAATATTCACACTTGCTGTTCTTGTTGCATTTTCATCTTAGTTGTTTATTGTTTGAAATTTAGCAAGATTCAACATTTCTCATTGTCATAATGGTATCAGCCAATTAACATGAACTTCCCATAATTCTCTTTGAACAATATGGAGGAATGGCTGATCTCGTTTTGAAAAAAGACCTTGTAAAGCCTAATGTAAATTGCACATGCTTTAACATGAAAACTAACGAATAATATTAATGCTTTGTCAAGGAACAAATATGGCAAAAGACACCATCATTGCCATTTAGGATCTGTAGTTGTTGGCTTGGTCCTCCGAAATGGGGGTTGAGCGTCGAGTTTACACCCCTACCTTGTAAAAACATCTTGTAACAACACAAACAGGAAATTCACTGGATGGCTCTAAAATGGATGACTTAAGGAACAGAAAGGACAGTGAGATAGACAGCGAAATGATTTTTATAAATAGAAGAAACAGAAGTAAAAGGGAAAATAACAGGAAAAGGATGATGAAATATGTGTTAACAATAGGTACTTCAAATGTTAGAAGTTTATTTAGGACTGGCCAATTTCAAGGTCTTCAGAGAGAACTAGAAAGATATAATATAGCAATTGCTGCTATTCAAGAAATAAATTAGAAAGACAGTGGTATATTAGAGGGAGATAAATACTTCATAGTGGCTGTGTAAATGGCCAATTGTGAACTGGATTTATGATTAAAAAGGAGCTGCAATATTCCATTCTAAATTATCAATGCATTAATAAAAGAATAACCACCATACGTGTAAAGGGAAGATTTTTAACATCACAAGGATGAATTTTATAGTGAGTTAGAGGAAGTCCTATGGATAGTACCAAAATATTATGTTAAACTAATACTGGGGAATTGAAATGCTAAGGTAGGAAGAGAAGAAGTGTATCAAGGAGTCATCAGAAGAAATAACATCCATGAAAATAGTAATGACAATGGTAAACGAGTAGTGGACCTAGCTTCAGGACATAATATGGTGGTTGCAACAACAGTGTTTCCTCATAAAAGAATACATTTAGGTACATGAATTTCACCGGATGGTAATATTGTAAACCAAATAGACCATATACTTATCGATAGAAAGCATGCTACTGATATTACAGAGGGGCAGATTGTAGTACAGATCACTAATTGGTGAGGGCAAACTATAGACAAAAAATATCAATCAAACCAAGAAGTGGAAGGGCAAAAAGTGCTATAAGATATGAAGTCGAATCTCTAAAGCAGAAAGAAATTAAAATTAAATAGCAACAGGTGCTTGAACAAAACCTGGTGAAGGCAAAGCAAAGGAGACAGAGACCAAGAAGCATTGAAAAATGGTGGGAAGATATAAGATTAAGTGTCATTGCAACTGCAGCAATACTTGGAAGTAGTAGAAAAAGAAGGAGAAATAGTTGGTTTGATATGGATTGTAGAGATGCATTAGAAGAAAGAAGAAATGTGAGGTTAAAGATGATTCGAAATAAGTCTGAAAATAGCATTGAAGACTTCAAAGAAAAGAGAAGGCTGGTATCTAAATCGTGTAGGAAGAAAAAGAGGAAATGGCTAAATGCAAAGCTAAAAGAAATGGAGGAAAATAAAAGAACTAATGAAATAAGAAAATTCTATATGGAGGTTAGAGAAGAGAAGAAAGGGTTTCAACCCTTATTGGTTTCTGTAAATGGAAAGAAGGAGAATTAATTGGTGAGAAAAGTGAAATTCTAGATAGATGGGCTGAATATTTTGTACTATTAAACAATGGAGTAGAATCTATAAGGGGTCAAACAAAATCAAAAATAAACAAAGAAGCCTCAGAGGTAGATTCTGAGGAAGAAGGAGAAGAATGTGAAAATGGGGGTGTGAATATCCAAGACCAATCAAATTGAGATGGGCAATAACAACTCTAAAAAACAACAAAGCTCCTGGGGAGGATGGAATAGTATTGGAAATGATAAAAATCAGGTTGTGTGAAATTGGAACTAGAGATAGGCAAACTCATTAAGAAATCTGGAAAAGTGAACAGATACCACAAGGTTGGAATAGAGGAATAATATGACCAATACACAAAAAATGAGACAAACTAGATTGTGATAACTACAGAGGAATTACTTTATTGAATGTAGTTTATAAAATTTTTTCGAAAATATTAGCAAAGAGGTTACAGTAGCAGTATACATGGAAAATATAGTGGGAGATTATCAGTGCGGTTTTCGTAATAACAGTGTAAGGAACCAAGTCTGAGCATTATTTTTATTTACTTTTATATTTGCTTTTTATTCTATTTTTGTTTGGGGTTTATGTTTTGTTAGGACGAAGGTTTCCTCACCTTAGAAACTTAAAAATAGAAGAGAAACCAACTCACCGATGAGAAAAAGTGCCGTAGATAAAACTTGTGCACACTTGCGCTCCCGAGCGGAAAAAAGTAAGTCTGCACTGAGAAGAGAGGGGAGATCCCACAAGCATAACTTAGGACTTTGCTAAACCTTAAAGAATAAAAACATCCCAAAAATTGTCAAAAAGAATAATGTAAAAGGTTAGTGAGTATTGTCAGAAAGTAAGCTGCCAGACAAACAGAAAGTTTATTGTTAGCCAATAAGTATGTAAATGAGGGGAGTGATCTCACTCAGAATTGTGACGTCACCTCACAGTATAAAGACCGAACCTCAAGTGAAGACAAGCGAGGTGAGCTTCTGTTAGCAATGAGCGTGGTGAGCTTCGTAGCAGTAGACGAGAGAGGTGTCTGATAGGATAAAGTAGTTCCAAGGCGATTTTGAAGTTATTCGATTTGTGGATCGAAGATTAGAGAAAGCCTTGAGAGTTGAGAAAAAAGGTTCCTAATATATTGGGGTGACAATTAGGATATTTAATTCATAAGAATTATTGTATATAAGTTAAGCCTTTGAATTTTTGTCGAGTTCCAAAGGGGAATAGATTTAAGTTAGAAAATAGATTGATTTGAGTTTTGTTGGTTGATTCTTATTGACTTTCATTGAATAAATTGTTATTTGATTTTTACTAAATTTTGTATATAGTTATTACTAGAAATTTTATTAAATATTGGATTGTTTTTGATTAACTTTGTCCTTATTTAATTCGGTGCATGCTTAAAGTCCAGGCCTGGCACATTAACGCGAATCCATGTAAAGTACCCGTTAGGTAACAGCTATTTCTGGCATACAGTCATGTCGATAATCATTGTAGAGGGCAGAAAAATAATATAATACTTTACAACAGATCAACTATAGATCAAATCTCCACAATAAGGTTAATTTTGGAGAAATGCTGTGAGTATAATATTGAGATACACCAACTTTTTATCGACTTCAAAAAAGCTTATGATAGTATTAGAAGAGAAAAAGTTTGGGAGAGTCTCCAGGAATTGGGATACCTCAAAAACTTATAATATAACTTCAAAGTTAACTTTAGAGAAGACGGAAGGCAGAGTTAATATCCAGGGATATATGTCAAGAGCATTTGCAATAAAGAAAGGACTCAGACAGGGAGATGCACTTTCTACAGTTTTATTTAACTTACAAGGGGACCTTACAGTCTCGGAAATTCAGTTCAGATGAGACTTCACAGGTTAGTAGTATACCTCAAGGGTGTCCACCCAGAAGAATTCTAAAGTGCACTAGGCAGAAGATTCTGAGAAACGGGGCTCTAAAGTTTTAAGTGCAGCTCATATACTGGTCGATTTTACACTATAGCAGGACAGTGAAATGGCTGAGTCTGTAGCGAACTCACTTGCCACGTGGACGATCTAGGTTTGATCCTACCTTCGGCTAACTTTTTTTTTTTTAATTGTTTTAAAAATTATAACAACTTTTAAATAAAGTTAATAACCTAAAAATATTATCCATTAAATCATAAATAATTTTATTTTATTTATGAAATGACTATTACAGCTAAAATTAACGATATAAAGATAATATTTTATTTTTAAAAAGTTGAATAATTTCAAATGCATTTTTAATGAAGGTAAATTAAAACTTTAGTTACTATTGTTATTAAAAATTTATTACAAATTTTAAGTTATTATAAGCTGTGGAGAGGTTAAAAATATTTGTTGTAAATTTGAGAAACCAGTTTCTATGTGGAAGAGTAGAGTATAGCTGTTGATTATTATTTATGATTTAATTGATAATATTTTTAGGTTATTAACTTTATTTAAAAGTTGTTATAATTTTTAAAACAATTAAAAAAAAAAAAGTTAGCCGAAGGTAGGATCAAACCTAGATCGTCCACGTGGCAAGTGAGTTCGCTACAGACTCAGCCATTTCACTGTCCTGCTATAGTGTAAAATCGACCAGTATATGAGCTGCACTTAAAACTTTAGAGCCCCGTTTCTCAGAATCTTCTGCCTAGTGCACTTTAGAATTCTTCTGGGTGGACACCCTTGAGGAATACTACTAACCTGTGAAGTCTCATCTGAACTGAATTTTCAAGACTGTAAGGTCCCCTCGTTCGTATTAGAAGTGGTAATGAGAAAAGTATATGAGGAAATGGATGTAGATGCAGGAGGAACAATTTTTAAGAAACATTTACAGTGCTTAGCATTTGCAGAAGATATAGTTATATTGGGAAGATCTAAAGAGGTAATCGAAGAGGCATTTAAAATAATGGATGAAGTAGCAATAGATAAAGACTTAACAGTTAATGATGAAAAAACAAAACATATGAAGTTAATTAGAAAAGATTGTCAGGGGCCAAGTGGACAAATTCTACATATAAAGGACCATAAACTTGAACAGGTGAATAAATTTCAATATTTAGGAACTCAACTAACAGAAAAGAACAAAATTGATGAAGAAATAAAAGCAAGAGTGACAGCAGGAAATAGAAGCTATTATACTTTAAGATGAATTCTAACATCTAAAGAAATATCAAGACGCATTAAGATCAGAATATATAAGACTATTATAAGACCAGTAATCATGTATGGCTCCAAGGTTTGGATACTGACAAGTAAACATGAAGAACAGTTGAGACGATTTGAGAGGAAGATTTTGAGAAGAATATATGGGCCAGTGCAAGAGAGAGGAGAGTGGAGAATAAGAAGTAATAAGGAACTTGAGGATTTATATGAAAATTCTGATATTGTGACAGAAATCAAAAGAGGGAGATTTCGATGGATTGGGCATTTGGAAAGAATGGACCCAGAGAGAAAGGTGTATCAAGTGCATAGAGAAAGACCAGAGGGGAGAAGGTTGAGAGGGAGACCACAAAAAAGATGGGATGAGGATGTGGAGGCTGATTTGAGAAGGATGGGTGTGAGCTGCTGGAGAAGGAAGGCTCAAGATAGAGAGGAATGGGTGAAAATCCTAGATGAGGCCAAGGTCCTTCAAGGACTATAAGGGCAAGAGAGGAGAAGAAGTAGTTGTTGTTGGCAGTGCAAATGCAGCCTTACTTACTGGTATTTAACAAATAAAATAAAAAAGCAGTTAGTTTAGAATAGTAGTGAATAAACTAAGTACATTATTATAATCAGATTAATATCTGATTATAATAATGTACTTGTAATGTAATGTACAATTCTATAATAATATTAGAATTGGATTCCAAAGAAGAGTAAAAAGAAATTGGATATAATGTACCTTTTTGTCAGAAACAGTTGCATCTAAAGATTTTTTCAAAGAATCATTTTCACATTTAATTTCACCAAGTTTTTCTTTTGTTGATGTTACTTCAGATGTTAACTGAGTTACGTCTTGTTCAAACTGCTTAAGTTTTGAATTCATTGCTTCACATTTATCTTCAATCTTATCATATTCAACTTGCAAAGTCTATTCAAAATTATGAAAATAAATTAACAATTTCAATATTGATTTTGATTACTATTACATGTTAATCAATAATTTTATTATTTAATTTTAAAAAGTAAATATTTTATATAATGCTTTAAAACACATTAATATATAGGGTAATTCAGAAAGAATAATCTGATTTTAAATTTTTATATTTTTAAAAATTAACAACACATGAATGTAAAGGACAAATGTCTTAGGTCTTTTTACAAATCGTTGGTGCACAAGAATAGTGACACAACTAAAAAAAAAATAGTCTTCCAGAACATCCATTTAAAAGTTTCTTTTATTTCTGCAAGGCTTTGTCATGATCTTGGATTTTNTCCAGAACTGCCATTTAAAAGTTTCTTTTATTTCTGCAAGGCTTTGTCATGATCTTGGATTTTTAAAATTTTCAAATCTTTATTTCCAAAAAAGATTGAAAATTTTATAAATCCAAGATCATGACAAAGCCTTGCAGAAATAAAAGAAACTTTTAAATGGATGTTCTGGAAGAACTATTTTTTTGAGTTGTGTCACTATTCTTGTGCACCAACGGAATGTGTGATATGACTTCCTGTAGTCATAAAGTTTTCCTTTAGTTGCTGTGTAACATCAAGTCATCTGATCCACTGTGACCAATCCAACTGCAGGGTAGCTTAGTATTAAGAAAATGACAAACCTTTGTATGCCAATGGGGCGGTACCTCATCTTGTTTGAAAAATTAAGTTGGGAAGATCTTTCTTCAACTGGGGAAAAAGCAAGATTTGTAACATATTCAAATATGAAATGCTAGTCACTTTTTTTTTGCAAAAAAGAATGGTCTGTAAATCTTTGATATGGAAAGTTTACAAAAAGTGTTCAATTTGGGTGAGTCCCATTCATGTACAATGCATGCATGAGGATTTTCAGAACTCCATACATGAATGCTATGACTGTTCATTTTGCCACTTAAATGGAAAGTGGCCTCATCACTTAAAACAAGTTGAGTGTGAAAATTGTCTGCCTCCATAGCTTCTTACATGCAAAGGGAGAAGTTCAGTCATTGTATCTTACCACTAGGTTTCAATGCTTGCAAATTTTTCAATTTATATGGCTTGTAACACAATTTTTTCTTCACATGCCAAACAGTAGGCTAAGGAATCCCCAGTTCTCAACTACTACAATAGGTCAGTTTCTTCAGGCTGCATATTAAAGTCTCTCTCACTCTTTCAATATCCTCTGCAGGTATGCCTGGTTGCCCTGGACTTATTTCTCCTCAAACTGCTGATATCACCTGCAAATACTCTAAGTCATCAGTGATTTATTTGGTTCTTTCTACAAAATTCATGCTGAACAGTGATTACAGACTGATATTGTGCAAACTGCAGCATGCAAAATGCTTTCTGTTAAGTAGATGCCATTTTCACTTCTTTAAGAGTTTCATAAACAACACACTAGGTGTTAGCTATTGTTCATAATCTGAAACTTAGACATTTGTCCTTTACATTCATGTGCTAATCATTCTGTGTTAATTTTTAAAAAGTCAAATGATTCTGATTTTTAAAAATTAACACAGAATAATAAGTAGATAATTTTGAAATCAGATGATTCTGAATTACCCTGTATTGCATAAAAATTTAAATAGTTTGACAATAAACATTATTTTCATTTAATACAGAATAACAAATACCTTGTATATGAATAATCTATACATGAACAGACATTTATACATTCTTTAATGATAAGATAAATATGTATTTCATGTTGTTTTCATCAAAGCATGATATTTTACATGAATTTTTTTTTAATCTTATATAGTACAGACTTATTTATTACATGTAAATCCTATTATTACTTATCCAAAGAAAGAACTCATTACTAACAGATAAATTTTTCTCTCTTTTATTTGACATGCTGCTATAAGACATGAATGAGAATGGGTACATTCCAATATGCATCAAACAGCGCATCGGTGAACCATGATGTACTAAAATGTGTTTCGATATTCACTGATAAGTTTATCAAGTGCAGTGACTCATGCACATTACATTCATCAGGCTGTGGATATGGTGAGTTCTGATGAAGCAATATAGCCAACTCCATGGTTATATTATCAACACCATTTTTACTATTCATCTGTATTAACTCAAAATTATTTTGAAAAAATAAGTGTTCAAATGTCAGTATAGTGCTGTTTGCTTCTGCCATCTTGTTAGGTTCTTAGTTCCAGTAAAAACTTACTAAATCATTTGAGGCTAAGACTGATGATTACTGGAATGTACCTAATATTTCACATGTTATTAAAAGACTTTTTAATTAAACTATCTTTCAGTTTGTATGAGTATTGATATGTTTGATAACTTTGCTCAAATTTCTTTGGTCATAGCATAAAATGTATTAAAATAATAATGTTATATAGTGATGGGCAGAGTTATTTTAACACAGATTTGTCTAGACATGTACAATATTTAGAGCATCAAAATTGTCAAAGTTTTGATTCTCCAAATGTAATATTTTGATCTTCTGGAAAAAAAACTTTTCAAATAAGTTAAATTAGAA